TTATTTAAGAAGTTTGTATAATTAGTTATCAGAACAGATTAGGAGAGCCATGATTGCCTATGTCCTGAAAAGATACAGTATATAGAAAAATATTACTGCTTCAAAATATTTTGGTCTGTGACTATTATTGACCTTGCATATTTAAAAACGTAAGTGCAGCAATATAAAATGTTTACTGCTAAATAACTGGACTGAAACTGGTGGCAGTGGATATTGAAGGTTTTATTTCCCATGAGATTTCTTTTTTATTTATTCTATTGATTTGCTTAAAAGAAAAATCCATTTTAGAGTATGAAGCAAAAACAAATAGCTGGACCATTAATGTCTAAATGTCAAATGTAAGCAGTCTATTATAATTTACTCTGGATGTAACTCCATGAAACTGAGTTAGAAAATTTTTTTTATTTTTTTTGGCTTAAAGAAACATTTAATTCATCATGGCTGCTAAATGTGAGATTATGTATATACTATAAACACAATAAATAATATTTATTTACGCTGAAATTACCCATGAAGATTTCAGTTTTCCTATTTTAATATTCTAATGAATTTTAATTAAATTAATGATTGAATAAGTTCAACATCAATTCTATGACAATAAAATATCCATAGGAATTTCCCTATCTCATCTTTTGAGTTTAACAATTTTAAGAAAATATTGCAATAACAATCATAAATATGAATACTGGTTTTTATTTAGTCTTTTAAGTAAGTTTTGAAATTTGTAATTCTTTTACAATTTACTGAAACAGACGTTAAGCCCTTCAATTTTTCTATCTTTCTTTCTTTTACTTTTTCACTGAAACCAAGTAACATCTCTGATATGTCTTTTCTGTTTTCCACATAATCAAAACGGAATAGTCCTTTATTTATGGGGCATTTGCAGGAGACATTAATCACTTCTTTTTTTAAAATTTCTTCCTTCCTTTTCTCCCTCTCCTTTTCTTTTCTTTTCCCTTTCCATTCCTTTCCCTTTCCATTCTTTTCTGTCCCTCTAGCTATGGATTTGCTGGAAGAGTATTTTCAGTTATAAAGTCCTTCCTAACAGAGAGGTCCCCAAAAGTAGTTGTTAACAGCCAGCCGTCCAAGACCCTACCCATCAATACAGGCATCCCCAGGGTTTACTTCTTGAACCAACCCTCTTGCTATTCTACATAAATGATCTGCCTAATAGTATACTCTGATTATTTGGGATTATCTATGTTGACGATAGAGTGGTATATAGGTGCACCTCCAAAACTTTAAATGACCAGAGATTGGTGATTAATCTCTCTTCTGACCTAAGCTCTAACATCACAGTGGGGGGAAAAAAAACTCGCTGGTTAGATTCAATGCCATGCAAACCAAACTAGTTACATTCCATCATCGCCGATTGAACCCTAATCTTTCACCAGTCATGATGAACAGATGTTTCCTCAGGGAGGTCTTGTGCTTTGAGCACCTATTGGGACTTAAACTCAACCCATGTATGAGATCCTCAAGTGGATCTCCTACAAATGATCCATCACTAAAGATGCCAAAAAAAATGTTCAGTTCCATGTATTGCTCCAATAAGTGCCTGACTCCTCCTACTATCCTCTACCTTTACTAGAGCCAGATAAGGCCTTTTTTTCTTTTTCCCTTCTTTTCCCTTTTTTTCCCTTCTTTTCCCTTTTTTTCCTTCTTTTCACTTTTTACTTCTTTTTTTCCTTTTTCTCATTCTTTTGAAAGTATTGCATTTATAGTGTGTTTTTCAGGCTGCTACATTCCCTACAAGTGGCCAGGCTGCTGGGGTGATGGGTGTTCTTTTTTATATATATATATATATATATATATATATATATATATATAGATAGATATAGATAGATAGATAGATCACTAACTGAGGCAAAATATCTTCTTTCTGGCCATAAGTTGAGGACTTGAGACTTGACAGCTTCCAAACAGTTTTATCACCCAAATCTCAATCACAAAGCTTTGGCCAACCTGTGATATGAATCCTTGGTCACTTTCCAATGATGCCGCATGTTGTGCCCATCTCCCCAGGAGAATGTTATCTAGAAGTCACCTCCTTGACTAATCGACCATGGCAAGACTCTCACATGCTAAGTATTTGGTCATATGCCCAAAGTCTATTGGTCATTAAATAAATATTTGCCTGTTGGCAAACCATAGAAATATAATAATAATAATGATAATCATTATTTTGAAAAATAATGTAAAAGTATTTGCTAATTGAGTTTTCTGATTTCTTTTTATTCAAGTCTGTTTATAGGACCTGGGTTATCTTATTTGAATTGTTTCAGATCAGGTCAGGCTTAGGCCTGCTACTGGTAATATGTAACGTTAAAATGGAGTATTGCTGCCATATATGGGCAGGAGCTGCCCAGTCTTCAATAGATTCCAAAAGCATCTCCACATCCTTGAAGGTGATAAATTATTTTCCACCCTACAAGCCCTTTCTCACAGACAAAACATCACAAACCTGTCACTGCTCTATTGTTATTTCCATAGAAAGTGTTCAGGTAAACTACATTCCTTATTTCCACTAGGTCTGACCTTCACATCTAAGACCCGCCATGCTATGAACATTGTATTAAACCACCCTCATTCCCTTTGTATACCATTGGTGAGATGCAAGTTCCACTCAAGCAGCTTCTTCCCATGAACTGCTACTTTGTGGAACCAACTCCTAAGAGGATGCTTTCCCCGATCACTACAATGTTAACTTGTACAAGTCTAGGATTAACTGTTATCTTCCCTACATATCTGCATAAACTGTGCCTTTTACTCTGTAATCTATATTTAATTGCTCCTGAGCCTTGTATAGGGTGAACATAATTGTAAAAAAAAAACAAAAAATCATATTTCCTCAATGAAACCATTTCACATCTCTGCTATGTCTTTTTTGTCTTTCCAGTCAATTAAAACGGAGTAGTCCATTATTTATGAGATATTGGCAATAACATTCATAAATATGAATACTGGTTTTTATTTAGTCTTTTAAGTTTTGAAATCTCTAACTTTTTACAATTTACTGAAACAGACGTTAAGCCCTTTATTTTTCTATATTTCTTTCTTTTATTTTTTCAGTGAAACCAAGTAACATCTCTGATATGTCTTTTCTGTTTTCCACATGATCAAAATGGAATAGTCCATTATTTATGAGTTATTGGCAGGACATAACAGTCCTGCTAACTAAGGGAGGGACAAGCAGAATTATAAGATTTATATAAATGTTATTGTCCTCATCTTTTTTATCACCTCATTTTGATCATTGTAACCGCCAGCCTTCATCAGGTGTCTGCTGATCTTGATTTTCTTTAGCTGAGCACTTCAATTTAATTTACAAGCATAGATTATTCTTGTTACTCTGTCCATGTCTTAGGATATCTCCTCGTCTTCAGTGTTGATTCCAGATGATATTTGAACATTCACGAGCACAAAGAAATTTTGCAGCACATTACTTAGGATTGTTAGATATATATTTAGATTATTTATATAAATATGGTAGATTGTTCTCACCTAAGGATATCTCATCTAGTTCTTATTTGGTACTGCTCGGTTATTGATCACACTGTTTCCACTGAGTCTAAGTCTGTACTAACTAGTCTGGGGATTGAACTCACAGAAGGATACCTAGATTGACTGACACTTGAAGAAGGCCAAAGGGCACAAATCCTAGACTTTGTAATAAAAACAAAGATGAGGATATTAGTTCAGATGTAAATAATTGGGTAGAACATAACTTATAAAAGGCATGTGCTTGCTGACACCAGAAGAAAATATTCATGTCTCCATTATGAAACTGAGACCAACTCTTCCTATTGCATATACTAGTAAAGTTTGAGAGAATAGCCAGAGTTTAATGTTTAGAGGATTTGCATATATGTGTGCAAACTGGCAGCAGGAATTATTTATGATGTACTCTATGAGTTTATAAATAGGCAAATAGATAGGAACAGACTGAGATAGATAGATATTAGGTTGAGTTGTAAATAATATCCATTTTTGTTTATCATCTTTATTCTTCAGCATATGACAATTTGTTCCACCAAAATAAAAATTACTTCTGACTCAACCTTAATAGTTGTATTTATAATTCCATTGCACAGAGTTCAAGCCCAGATAAATACTTTGATAGAATGTAAAAAAAATTCGAAAGAGGTAATTCTTTCATCATATTGACAAGGGTTCTCCAAGCGGCTGACAACAGAACTACTGAAAGGAAATGGAGAAAATGAACTCCACCATAAAGTTCCATATAAATGAGCTCCATGGTTGAATTCATTTTAATCTGCAGATGTGAGAAACCTTCTGCTGCTCATTAGAATATATTGTGTTGGTGGGTATGAGGCTAATAATATCAACAAGGATTGGTTAACTTTTAATTTCTCTTATATCGTATTGGTATCTTATAGTATATTGGTATCAAAGTCTAACAGTGTTTCTCAACCATTTTAAACAACCCCACACCTAGGAGCAAATGACAGTATCACTACACATTTATCTTCTTTTCTTTTTTTTTTTCTTTTTTTTTAAGTATACATTTAAATGTTATGAAATAAAACCACAGATTAAAAACACCCCCCCCCACAAATATAAACTTACTTTATTTCAATGTTTCTATTCAACTATTTGTACAGCTTTTGTACCATTACTACTTACACACACACATGGATACTGTGACAATATTTCATGGCACATGGCAGTTAAGACTCACTGATCTAACAGCTAGGTAGGTTGGTTGGTTTTATTTAGCAGCATATCAACCTCTGTGGATTATTTAATGCTAAAATCTGAATAGTTTGCATAGTTTTTTTTTCTTGAGATAATAATGGTTTTAGTGAATAGTCTTACTAAATAACTCATACCTAAGGTGGGGAGAAGAGGTAGATTCATACCCTTTCCCAAGGGTATTTGCATGTAAGTGAATATAACAAACCTAGCAGGAATTGGAACTCGGCTCTCTGATTAACAATTCTGAGCCATCATCCATTACACCACCAACACATCCAAGTTTACAGTACCTATTATTCCCAAACAGTCACTCATCTAAGTAGTGACCAGACATGATGCTGCTTAACTTTGGTGATCTTACAGGATCTGGTGTTTCAACATGATGTGGCCATAAGCCTCTACCAACTAGGATTTCAAATTATGATTATTTTTTTTTTTTTTCTTCAAGGCAATATCTTACTTGGAAGATTGGAGCAACATGTAGCAAAAAAGCTTTAAACTTTTTTTTGTTTCTTTCCTTCAAAACAATGTGTTCGAATGATTGATATGGCGACCCAATTCCACAATGAAATAAACAAATCGCAAGTCCAAACTCTGATATCTAGAGGCAGAAAGATATGTCAAAATCATGAATCATTGGTCCAATTTCACAAAACCCAATACGTGTAAATAGTCAGAAATCCAATATGCAAGCTGATGGACGAGCTAGAAAAATGACTTTTTTTCAATTCAAGACCACCAACCACTTTTATTGACAGAACAATTTTTTCATTGGTCGACAGGTGAGAGAGGACACACAATATTAGCATATCTGAGATGCATTTATGGCAACACTTGCCACTGACTTGTTTCTATTTTGGTAATTTTGTCTTCAGCATATCATACAGAACACATGTGCCCTTTTTCTCAGTGACTTTCTCTTTTGTCACAGCACAATCTTCCCATTTGTCTCATGCATTTATTTTGGCCTTGTGCCAGACTAAGTTAAATTTCATGTTGACTTAAATACATAAGTAGTTCATTTGAAATTTTCCTTCAGGATTGTTTCTTTGTCAGTGACTCATTTTTTGCACTTAATGTTTGCAGCTTAACTTGGATGTTTGCTCTAACAGTCTGTCTTTTGCCAAAAACCAAACAATGAAACTTATTTTTTCTATAATAAAATAAAAAACAAGAAGACTTATACTTTTATTTAAAGAATATGATAGTCTTTCCAATTGAAAATCTGATATTTATTTGTGCTTACTGATTTTTTGTTTTTTGGGATGAGTAGCTAATATTTACAGGCAAAGACAATACTTGAATAAAATGGTCCACTCGTAAAATAAAAAAATAAAGGACAATTGTCTTAAAAATAAATTTTGTACATTAGCATTCTTTAGACCTCCTTTAGGCCACAACACTTGTCAGAATTAAAAAATATTTATCATTTTAGAAAGGAATCCTGTTCATAATATCAATGTGAAATCAGTCCCCTGATTTTTACAGAGTTATTGGACTTAGCATTTACAGATGTCAAGTTTCAAAGTATAACACCATTGATATCTGTTTTTAATTTTTTAAACTTTTTAAAAAAAATTTTTTTCTGTACTCTTTTAAAATTTTCTTTCTAAACATTTTTGTATGGGATTTTTTCAGAAGAACTTGTACTAACATTGGAAGTTCATAATTATTTATCTTAAATGAAAAATAAATGGATACTTAATTTTATTAATTTATGAGAAAAAAATTAGTATTTTTTATTCTGACAAGGGTTGCAGCTTAAGGAAGTTCTTAAGAATGATAATCTACAGAAATTATCCCCCCTCCCACGCCAAATTTTCCCTATTTTTAATGAGGGGACCATATTTTCCTTATTTTTAATGAGGGGACCACTCTATTTAAGTAGTGCTCAATAAGGCTAATATCCTCATCTCTGTTAACACATCGTTTCATTGACTATGCCATTTGGCTTTTGTCAGGCACTTGTTGATCTGAGTAAGCATCATGGAATTTGAAACCCTAGTGAATTAAAGCATCGGCTTGTGATTTTTGTAACATCAATCCTTGGGCCAAGTAGTGTGGACTTGGACTCAGTGTAAATGGTGAGGGTTAATTGAGTAGTATTAAATAATTAGACAAGATATCCCTAGACATGAACAGCAGAATGAGAACAGTCTACCTCTGGAGATTAAATAAAGGGTTCAGTTCAAAACTCCCTGAAGGTTACCCGGATTGACAAGCATCTGATACAGGCTGGAAAGTACAGTGCTCGATATGTTGTGATAACAAAGATGAATACAATAGGTTCACTTATTGTCCAGCTCACACTCCTCCCCAGTTTTTTGAACAGGAATATATACTTGGTTTCCTATTTAAGAGTGAGTTTCCAGTTCTTTGTAAATTTTTCTACAACTCTATACTTTTAACATCTCCCTCTAAATTCTGAAATTTTTACTATTTATTTTTCAATATAAGATAAGTTTGCCTATCATTTGGTTCACATTTTTCTTTGGCTTTTTGAACAGGAGTAGGAGTTTATAACAAGTTTCCTGTTTAGAATTGGGTTTCCAGTTCCTTTTAAAGTCTTTTCCTTCTCTTTCACTTCCAGTAGCCCCTTGGATCTTAATGGCATTATTGTCTTGTTTTCAGTGAATTAATTAAAAAACAAAAAGAAAACTTGTGGTATTTTGTTTAGATTATAAGCCCTATGTCATAATTGGTTGTCTCATATAATTGACAACATTGGTTAACACATGTCAGAACCAGGAACTGTAATCATCTATATCCCTTGGTTAAGCACTCCTGTATCTATCCATCAGCCAACATATACGTACAATGGCTTATTCTATTTAAAATAGTTGAAAAGGTGCGAAAATCCAAATACTATTCACTTGTATAAGTTTCAATACAAGTTTGCTTTTTGTTCGTTAAAGAAAACAAAAAAAAACACGACATATGACAGTTGTCACGATTAAATGATTGATCTTTATTAGCATTTATTTCCTGGCTTTTTAAACATGCACTTGGCTTTCTCAAAGCAAATAGTGACACATTTCAACATATTAGTCCCCATGTTATTATTTTTTTTTTTTTAATAACATGTCCATTTGGGATGTAAACAATCACTGATCATTAGATCACCCAGTCTACCCTGCTATTTCTGCTAAAATTGGGAAGGGCAGGGAAGAGAAGCTTTCATGACTTTCTCTAAGGGCATTTCTATGAAAGTAAATGCAATAGCCTAAGTGGGATTTTGAACTTTCTGTACCATGCACAGCTCTCTAACTACTTTTTATAGTGCAATTTTCCTTCAGGGTGTTGGCGATCATAGCTCTCCACAGATTCCTTAATCTGTGAACTGCCATGCATTTGTGGGAGAGATAGTGGAATGATTTTCTGATGTCATCTCTACATAATAATACTTGGATAATACCATACATACACATCATAATAAAGCAGTCAGAAGTGAATTTTTTTTTTTTTGTATGATCTCGTGTACTTTCTATACAGTATGTTGTGCAGGCGAATCTAGATTTTCTGTTGCCTTCCTTTCAGGATAGTCATCTCTGCCTACATCCTGAATGGACAGAGCAAACATGGTTCTCCACAGATTCTTTTTCTTTATTATCTGTGAACAGCCATGCATTCTTTGGAAAGATAGTGGAGTAGTTTCCCATTGACTTCTTTGTAGTTTGGAATTTGGATTAGTTAATTATGCCATGTCCATTCAGAATGTAGGCAATTATGGCTCTCCACAAATTCCTTTTCTTTATCATCTGTTATCTGCCATGGATTCTTTAAAAAGATAGTGGAGAGGTTTCCCATTGCTTTCTCTATGGTTTGGAATTCAGTTGTTTTTTTTCTTAGACTGGCTGCCACCCAAGGCAAGAGAACCCAGTCTACCCTGCTGTTTAACTTGTAGATGAGGGCAGAAAACAGATTCATGCCTTACCCAAGAATATTTGTGTGAAAGTGAACACATGAGGTTATCCATTATAAGATGGGAGAAAATTACTGATTTACATTTTTTTTTTCTTTGAGGCAAGCATGTGAATAGGTGTTTTTTACTTATTTTGATGTCATGAATGAGGAATTTCTAACAACACCTAGTTTTGTTTTTGTTTTCATATATCACATTTTTATTATACTGCATATAAATTTATATGCATGTGTTTATTTTATCTATTCAATCAGTTATGTGCGATGCATGCTACACACTTAGGCGATCATGTATCTTTTGATACATGACTGACGAGGCAGATTTTTTTCCTGCTGTACATTGTCATTTCTTTCTGCGGTAGACCAGTTACCATCCAAGGCTATAGAACTCGATCTGTCCTGCTATTTACCCATAGCTGCGGGGTCCCATCTTGGGAAAGGTATGAATACTTGTTGGAAAAACACAATTGTTTTTGCACGAAATCAATTTGAAAACATGATAAAACACAATTCTGCAGCCAGAATGAAAGGGGGATAACTCATATCGAGTTATACTTATTATAAAACCCAGTAAGTGAATGTAACAGATTTAAGTGGAATTCAAACTTTGCTCTCTGATTCCTCAATCTGAGCCAATATCCATTACTCCACCATGCTTCCTCTATTATCTGTTGCATATATTACAGAAAAACCATATAGAGTATTGATGGAACTAAATTACTTGGATAATACCATACATACACATCATAGTACAGCAGACAGAAGTGAATTTTTGGATGATCTCATGTACTTTGTGTCTGGTATGCTGTTCAGGAGCATCCAGTAGAAGCTACCCATCATGCTGGGGTTCTACCAACCTCCATGCTCATCACTCACAGCTCTGAGATTCAGAGAGAAGAATCTAAATATTACAGTAGAGGAAGTGAATTTTGAGTGACATTTGACATCCCATATCCTCATGAGCCTGTAACAACTTCTTGATACACTCTTGGTAACCTGGTGTCTGTGTGTTACCAAGGAAGCCATGGCAGACTAACTTAAGTGCTTCCCAGGCTCTTAATTCATTTGATGTAAGAAGCTCTTCAAATATCTTCAATTATTAATATTTCTCTAAAGTTTTGATAAAGTAGTGTCACATTGTTATTAATGTCTGTCTGAAATTATGAGATAAAGAACTGTCATCAAGTTATTAGTGGTTGAAATTCTAAGATATAGCGTTATTGTGGGATTATTAATCTTTGATATCCTGATAGGAATTTTTTTCGTGAGATTATTACTGCTTGTCTGAAGTGCTGAGACAAATTCTTTTTATGAGATACTACTGCTTGTCTGAAGTGCTGGGACAAATTCTTTTTATGAGATATTACTGCTTGTCTGAGATGCTGAGAAAAAGCATTGTTGAGGAATTGTTTGTCTGAGGTTTTTATATAAAACAATCCCCTATCAGACCCTATTGACTGGCACTAGAAAAT